TTTTCTGATAGATCACCACTAGGCATCACCAAATGTAAGATGTGGAAAAGGATACGATAAGCTGAAAGGAGCTGATCATCTTTTAGAACTTTGCCACGATAGATTAAACGTTGCTGTTCAGACAATACAGCAGTAACAGAAGCAATATGTTCCTTTAGTGCAGGAACAGGTACCTATAAGAACATATACAAAGTAAGAAAATAGAAAAAAGGTAGCAACTTTGAGAAAAACACAAACAAGTTCTAACGCTTCGTCATCCATTCCATTCTAGACAAAGGACGAAATCATGGTGTTCCATGAAACGATATCTTTTTCATTCATATTTTTAAAGATATTTGAGCTTCCTTGAATGGAATTACACCTGATTAGAGTCACCCCCTTGACGAAAAGCAAAAAAAGACTAATGATATAAGCATAGGTGTAGGATTGCATATACCTGATATGACTCAACCCAATGGTCCACGTGTCCCCTATAGTTCTGTAACACTAATGATATAAGCATAGGTGCAGGTTTTGTGTTTTCATCTTGCAAGTTTTTTTCACTCATTACCTGATACAAAAGAGAAAGAAGTCACTGAAAAAAATTGCAAGTATGGAAGTAATACATATATAGTTTCTTAAGTGTCAAGGATTACAGAAGATATTTTTTTTAACGCATCACAGTGTTTTTTTTATTTTTTTTAAGGAAAGATAATATATATATTTTTTAGTTTGAATTTCAGGTGAGGTGAGCTTACTATGTTTTCAGATATATTGGGATTTTTGTTTCAAGCAGTAAGGAGATGACGGCTGGATATGCTTCTGTTTGGGGGTTTGATATCAAAATCACATATTCTCCCTAATGGTTTATTAATAATTATTAGGATTTGAACTAATCATATTCATATAATATAGAATAATCGAAACAAGTATGGGAATGAGAATGAGGAACCTAATTAAGTTGTTGTTCTATTTTAGTGAAAAGAGAGAGTGAGTGGGCCCCCATTTTCAGTTATGACTTCATAGCTCTGATCCACATTGACTTCTGGTTTGACATTCCTTAGACGAGCACTTGCACTTGTCATGGTCGTTGTTTCTATCTGAGCAACATGAATAGATCCACCAATTTCTCCAGGCAGAGTGAGTGGGCCCCCTTTTTCAGCTATTTTTTTCACAATAACTCACCAATGTGGGGTTCATCTGTGATAGCATCTCATGCACCTGTAACCCCAAAAACACTTGAATCACACCAAAACTTTGATCTTTTGTATGTGCAGAGGACATAATTGCCCTTGTCATATGGATTAGTCTTAGAAAGCTTTGTAAGTAAAAGAAAATGGGCCACCTATAAAGAGATGAGACATAATTGATCAATGTTTATCCACGTGTAAAGAGATGAGATTAATTATTATTGTAAGAAATAAATAAAAAATAAATAGTGTTTCTTACATGCGACACTCACGAGTTCATTGTATTAGTGATCTTAGACTTTTCTTCTGACTTCATTGTTGCAAAACACATGCAAAAATACTTTGATTAGTTCCAATAGTAAATTAAATCAACAAGACAACGTAAATATCATAGAATTTTATTATCATTAAGGTATTGTTATAATCTGAATTAATCCAGAAATCATTAAGAAAAAATCACTTATTACCACTAACCTCAATTAATCCAGAAATCATTAAGAACAAATCGCTTTAACGAGCACAAAATTGACAAAAAGATGAAAGTTAATAGTCAATAGCACAAAATGTTAAATTTAAAAAAAGCCAATGTATTAGGGTGAGCATATAGTGCATATACAGGTAGCAACTCACATTAAACATAGTCTTAACATTTTAGATGATCGAATATAGATATCAGAGTTGAAAATAATTAATAGCACCAAAAAAGTCTTCTAATCCTCACATACCTTTCTGATGTTCTTCTTATGATCTTCAGATTTATACAGTTTTCTCTCTGTCACTACAACAATAGCAGTTTATACCTGTCTGGAGTTAGTGTATATTAAATGTAATTTACTTAGAAATGAAGTTGCCAAACTTCCTTCAATATCATCAATCTCCTCAACGTAAATACACACACACAAAGATCAAGATGATGAAAAACAACAAAAAATAGAAAATGAAAACACAAGAATACTATTTTACCTCATATACACCAGGAAAGTTAAGTCCCAGTTCTACAACTTGTTGTAGGGTACTTTCCAAGTATATAGAATCCCAGTTTTTGCTTCCAAATGAAGTGTTCTTACTTGATGAAGAACATAATTCATTAAAAGATGACCAATTTACATCTTTATTATATTCTTTATCAAATATTACAAAACTCAGTGAAGCAAATAATCAAACACTTAGTGGGCAATAAAAATCCAACACATTAAAATAATAAAAATAATAAAAAAAACTTGCACCAGACATGGAAATAAATAATAAAAAGAAGCATGAACACAATAAAAAAGGAAGTAAGTAGTTGGGGATGATGATGAATAGTTAGTGATGATGGATGTATTTTCAACATATGATGAACAGTTAGTGCACCACTGGTGTCAAATGTTTCATTCCCCTTTTCATCCACTGTAAAAGCAGCAAGCTTTGCCATAGTAAGACCAATAGCAAAAGGATGTCCTGGATTGCTGAACAAAAAAACATTGTTCAAATCAAGCAGATGAAGAAATATGGACTGAGAAACTGATTTTTAGGCAACCTCATCCTCCATCATTAGAGATTATTAAGAAAATATGCAGAAATTATTAACAATATATACTTTTATGTTTAAACTTGGCAGGGACTTGAAGTTGTTCAAATCTACCACACACAATTTCAGTTTCATTTATATTAATAATCCTTGCAGCAGCCTGACCAATGGACACAAATATCATACGTTGATAGTTGGTGGATGTCTGAGACTCCAACTGATAAAGATAAAATCTGACCAAAGCAAGATGTGATGGCTGCCATGAAGCAAATGAATAGCCAATCCCCTGAACCAAACAAAAAAGTTTATTTAAGAAATGAAGAAAAGGGGATTTCATATTTGGAGTTGATTTTGGCGCCTCTTCGATCAGCACAGGCATCTGCTATTGTGCGCTCATAAAAATACTTAGTATGCTCCCAGCCCATTCAATAATGGCTAATAGAACGCCAAAAAAAAGAGCAGATCGAACGGCGGGGCGGAAACCATACCGCATCTTCAGAAATCCTCCTGTGGGGGCACCATAATCGTATGTGAAGCGTAATCGTTAGAATCGACCTAGGGTTTTCCCACTACTGAATAGTATTCGAAGAGACATTTTTGGTGGGTGATGGAAGAGAGATTGTAAATGAAAGAGAAAGTGGAGATGGAAGTGAACAAGAGATGGAGACGAACCAACCTTAACCCTTTGATTTCAATTTCTTGTCCCTGTAAGCGGACGAAAATCATCGAATGACTAAAAGTTGAGTTTTTTAGCGTAAATCACACGTGGGTCGTCCCCTTCTGCAACAATTCGAAGATCTGGTGTGCATGTGAGAAATTTCTTCAGGAAAACGCGACTAGGGAAACCGATCATCTCATTAGAATCATACTCAACTTCAATATTAATCTAACATAGGGCTTGTAAACTTGAGCAATCGTTGCACTCTTTGGTGAGGTGAAGTGAGCCCGAGGTCGCCGGATTTAAGAGATGAATTTCAAATTGAAGGTCGATAGATGTTTTCAGACTAAAATCGGAGATTAGAGATCCGAAGAAGAGAGAATCATAGAAGCGTGAAGTGTGGATTGAGTTTTTAAGGTTCAATGGCGGTGGAAGTGGCGATGGCATAGGGTTTACAGAGAGAAGGAAGGAGTGAATGAAGGGAGATACTGAGGAGAGAGGTAGAAGCGGGGTTCTTCAAAATTTTAGAATTTCAGATGATTTCGTTTTCCCCCTTTAAAAACGCACGTTTAAGCAAAAAAATATAAAGCGGCACATTTAGAGGATGCACATTTTAAGAAAGGCGCCCTCCGCATTTATTTTTTTTCTTTTCTAACACTAATTTTAGGGCACGCACAAATGTGTGTCCACTATCCTTCAAATTTTGCAAAATTGACATTATTTTTTAGGGCACACACCAATACGCGTCCTCTATCAGCGAGTGTCATTGTTTGCGAGTCATTAAAGGGCTGTTTTCTAGTAGTGTAGACCGGCTTCGTGAATGAGGCGTACTAGCGGTAAGACGACTTTGTTCTTATACATATACATATAATTATTAAATCATAATACTATAAGTATAAGGGTATAATTTTAACTTTTAAAATTCTAAGGGTTGGAACTAAAGTTTTTAATATGACTTTACTTGTTCCAAAACTTGAGGGCAAGTTTTGTAGACTTTCAAAACTTTTCATTTCTTGTAACTTATGAGTTTAATAGAGTAATAAAAATGAAGACTCTTTATTTTTTCTAACTCTTGTGTTCTTTTAATGGTTTTAATTCAAGTGACTCTTGGTTTTCCATAACTTGAGGACAAGTTATGGACTCCATTAAAACACATTATGATCAAGAATTAATCTACCACATAGGTTACAAATAATTCCTATGATCATCTAAACATCATAAGATCAAGAACATGAATATGAACACTTTCATGAATCAAAATTACACTTCAAACTTTGTAATTTTGATAACTAGTTGTTGTAAATGAATTAGCAAAGACATTACTCCATCTAAAACAAGTTTTCAAGTACCAAAACAGTTTAGGGTAATGTTTCTAGTCAATTTCCAGCAACTAAAGTTGAAAATATGCACTCTGTGGCTCCTACTCGCCGAGTGTATGAACCTACTCAGCGAGTCCCCCCATGGACTCGGCGAGTTCATCAGGCAGACAACAAGTTTTTAGATTTTTTTCAACTTTTTAGCACAAATAACAAACAAACAAGCCTAGGCTCTGATACCATTGATGGGTTTTGAGCATTTTAACACTTCCTAAGTGTACATGCAACCCTAATAACCTTGGATCTATGTTTGTCTAATTATCATGCAAAGTTGAATTCCAAGGTTATATTCCGATCTAGCATACATGGGGAACAATTTTTAACTTGAATGAAAGATAGAATAACTTACCTTGTTGTTGCTTATGTTCCTTGAAACCTTGTGAGCCTAGCACCCCAAGTGTGATGCCTCAAATGCTTCACACAACACCAAATGCTCTTGGAAAGACTTTTGAGAGAATACACACTTCTTAAAATCGGCCTAGCCCTCTTGTTTCATATGTGTAACCGATTTTGGTGGAGAATGAGATTCTTATATAATGTTGACACATCTAGGGTTACACCATGTAAACCCTAATGTGTCATGACTCTTCATTTCCATGACCCATAGGTATGTAACTCCCATGGAGTATCCTATGGGTGGAACCTAACTTGATAATCCATGGAGCCTCTTAGCCCACTATACAAGATATGGATGATTTACATAATCAACCCATATAATTAATTAGTTATTTTTTGATCACTTAATTAATTCTAAATTAATTCTTGATCAAACTAATCAAATAATATTATTAATATATTAGAACTTATAATATATTAATAATCTCCAAATGTTATTCCTCTCATTTAGTCTATCCAATTGCATGGTGCCATGCAACCCAAATGGATCATGCCGGGTCGGGTCAACTACTGACCAGAAATAGTTATGGACTTAGACACCTTATCCAACAGTAGCAACCCTAGATAAATATCACAGAGACAATCATCTATCATACAACTCCTAGTGGTGGGCCGGCATTGTGGTCATAGACCCACCGCAACTTGAAGGTAACTCACCTCAAAGTAGTTGCTGATCTGCGTGGGAACTGACAGTCTTCTGTTGCTGCTGCCCCGGAAATCCTCCGACTATAATCCCCAGAAAATACTCATTCAAATACTACTAATCGACCTTAGGGTAAAATGACCATTTACCCCTAACCAAGCCAAGAGTCAAAGTCAAAGTCAACTTCAAGTTGACCCGACTCGCCGAGTTAGCCTGCCAACTCGCCGAGTCCCTATCCCTTTGTCTGACCATAATCCAATCTCTACTCGTCGAGTTAGGCATTGACTCGACGAGTTTTCCTTCTAAACCAAAGTCCAATAGTCCTTCATCCTACTCGCCGAGTTGTACGAACAACACTTCGAGTTCATCTTCATCCGAAGAACACTCCATGCTGTGACTCACCGAGTTGTATGAACAGCTTGCCGAGTCTGTTCTTGAGGCAAGAAGATTGCCTTGGACTCGCCGAGTCAGGGCATTGACTCGCCGAGTTCCTTCATGGGTGATTCTGACCTCCGACTCACTGAGTCACACCCCATGACTCACTACTCCACTCCGCAAACACGAAAAGGGGGAAAAGTCGAGGACTTGCGACTCGACTGTCCGAGTCCGATGAACGACTCACCGAGTCTTTCACATGCAAATACTATATACTCGATTTTGCTCGAATCCAGCTCATTCCATACATAGATCTGGGTTTCTAGGGCTTGATTAACATGTAAAGTTTCCAACTTTATGTGTAAATAAACACCAATGAAGGTTTTGGGGCTCAAAATGCATCAAAAGAGTAGATCTAGGGTTTCATGCAATATGGCTCCATAAAGGCAGTAGATCCGAGCTCATGGAGCTCAATCATGCCTATATCTAAGGGTTAATCAACTTATTGATGGGTTTTGAGCATTCTATCACTTCCTAAGTGTACATGCAACCCTAATAACCTTGGATCTATGTTTGTCTAATTATCATGCAAAGTTGAATTCCAAGGTTATATTCCTATCTAGCATACATGGGGAACAATTTTTAACTTGAATGAAAGATAGAATAACTTACCTTGTTGTTGCTTATGTTCCTTGAAACCTTGTGAGCCTAGCACCCCAAGTGTGATGCCTCAAATGCTTCACACAAAACCAAATGCTCTTGGAAAGACTTTTGAGAGAATACACACTTCTTAAAATCGGCCTAGCCCTCTTGTTTCATATGTGTAACCGATTTTGGTGGAGAATAGGATTCTTATATAGTGTTGACACATCTAGGGTTACACCATGTAAACCCTAATGTGTCATGACTCTTCATTTCCATGACCCATGGGTTTGTAACTCCCATGGAGCATCCATGGAGTATCCTATGGGTGGAACCCAACTTGATAATCCATGGAGCTTCTTAGCCCACTATACAAGATATGGATGATTTACATAATCAACCCATATATTTAATAAGTTATCTTTTGATCACTTAATTAATTCTAAATTAATTCTTGATCAAACTAATCAAATAATATTATTAATATATTAGAACTTATAATATATTAATAATCTCCAAATGTTATTCCTCTCATTTACTCTATCCAGTTGCATGGTGCCACGCAACCCAAATGGACCATGCCGGGTCGGGTCAAGTACTGACCAGAAATAGTTATGGACTTAGACACCTTATCCAATAGTCTCCCACTTGGATAAGTCTAATAACTATAACTCCAGTACATCAGGAACCGACCGACAATCGTAGCTCTTTCAAGGTCTCTCGGAACTCAGAAGATGTTGATACGCCATTTAAGATAAGTGATCATATAATCCTCTGTTCTAGACATCAGCCGGACAAATACATGGAACAATGTCTTACTTATTGTCCAGCAGTTTGTTTCCCGATTTCTGATTTGTTTGACAAAGAACTTAATTGAACACATCAACTTAGTTCTGACCGGGCCCGGTACATAGGTCAAAACAAAATCATCGAGGGGCCTAGATATCAGCTTCTAATCCAAGAAGGAACAGATAAACTTCGACTCATATGTTTGTTCTACCACTCATTGAATTATACACAAAAGCACGTTTTATAACATCGAGTCACCAATGCGTTTCCGTACAATCAATGCATAACCAACTTGTAAGTAACAAATCATATCTCTAGGTTTGAAGACTTATATGATATTACCGTCTCACGATCACTCGAGATAGAATTCCATGAAGTGATTCCAATGAGCGTGGGTTGAGTCTAATGCTCAGAACTTATGAGCACTCATGATTGTTGTAGCCTTGTCCAACACCGTAGACCTCTGCAACCAATCATGACAGTCTTGATTCATACCTACTTCCGACATATGACCGACTGTGGAGGTTTGAATAATATGTTATACCAAACAAAATTATTCTGGAAGTCAAAACATGCAAAAGAAATATAGTAAACGATCGACAAGAGATAGCAAC